TGGGAAGGAATAGTGAAAAAGGAGCCAGACTCTTCTCAGAGGTGCACAGTGACAGGATGGGAGGTGAGACACACATGCTGCAACAAAGGAAAGTCTGTCAAGATAAAGGGATTTTTTCCATTAATAGGGGTGGTCAAACATGAGGATAGGGGTCCAGTTTGAGCAAGGAATTGGACTAGGTGACTCCCAAAGGTCCAAATTATGAACCTCTGTCTTAAATTATTCCATGACTTCATGGAGAGATCATGGCACTTTTCATTTTATCCTGTCTCAATAAATTTGATCACACTGACAAATCAAAGCTTTCATCACTAGCCCTACAAACCAGTCTGGGCACCTGGAAAATGAGACTGCCACTTTTGTGCCTTGTCTTTGGGAGGATCCTGTGGCTCTGGAAGTGTTTCCACATCCAGTACCTTGTCCTATATTTGCTTTGCAGATGGGTCCTCAGCTGCTGCAGTTCAGCAGTGCTCCCAAAGGCCCAGCAGGGACAGTGCCAGGAGGACAGTGCTGTATTTCATGCTGGCTGTAAGCAGTTGGAGTGTTGTTAAAATGCACACCTGTACATCTGGCATTAACATCACCACATTCAATTCCCTAAATGATCTCTAACAGTTCATTCCAACAGAACAGTCCTTAATTTACATGTTCCACTGCATTTGCAATGCCCCAACATCTTATCACATTTACACCAACAGATCTGCTCTTAACCTTGGGGGAAAAAAGAAAAAAAATTAAAAATAAAATAAAAAAGGGGGAGAAAAAAAAGCTTTCTTTACTGCCCCAGGTCCCAAAACTGGGTATCTGGCTGTGCCTGGCTGATTTGGCCTAGTTTTTTCTTTTGCTACTTGAATTCAATGGCCCAGTGTACATGATGGAAAGGAACACTCCACCCTTCTCCGGGAAAAATTCTCCAAGGGCAGGGAACAGTTTATTAAGTCCTTTTCCACAAAAGCACAGTAATGTCACCAAACCCACTCAGTCATGCAGGAGATCTGCAGCAAAGAAGAATAATAGAGACGTAATATCCTTTGGGCTGAACAGAGAGCTGGGAGAGGATTGTGCATTTGGGGGTGAACGATACCATCAGTGCTACCAACAACAGCATTTCACATTTGGGCAACTTAATAGGAAACGAGGGCAGAACTGACCAGCACTGAGAGAGATCAGCACAAACAGCAGCAGCACGCAGTGCCTGGGACCATGGAAAATACCCATTAAAAATATAACTGTCAGGTTTGGATACATCTTCCTGAACCACTCATGACATGTACTTCAAAATAAGAAAGAAGTGCCTGAACTGGTGCTGTATTTCAAACCAACATTCAGGGTTTGATTTTATATTCCACTTCCATTTTAAAATCTATTTCCAGAACTGCTGCTTATTAAGCCTGCCCTATTAAATCATTCCCCTATTAAATGCAATATGAATTAGTTTCCCAGTCCCTTTTTCTGCCTCTTAACATCCTACACTCTAACACCCTGTACCTTTCTGTACAATAATTTCTGCTCTTAACCAGGAAAATGTCACATATCTGAAAAAGAAATAAGTGATGAGCTTATGCTCTCTGTATTCCTCTATCTCATTATATATACAATGTCCTAAGGCAAGAGTTTGCCAGCTTAGATTTTCACTTTATTTCCCAAACCCTTACTTCCGGGTCAAACCATGACAGCCAGCTGAGATTTTCACTTGCTCTATCCCTTTAATTTGTGTTCCCATCACTGTTGTTACTGATTGTTAGCATTTGTTTTTATTTTTCTCTTGAGATTTTAATTTTCTTTTGCCTAAGTCACTGATTAAATAACCTATATTCTTCAGAGGGAAATTCAAAATTTCCTGCTTGTATAAAAAGCAGAATGATTCAGTACCTGTGCTGGAACAGCATTAGGTGGATAACATTCATTTTGCTGGAGGTCTCTGTTAGCTCAGTCAGAAAAGTGACTTCCCTTCCCCCTCTCTCAGCTCTCTCAGAACTGGGTAAGGAAAAGGTGAGGAATCTTTCCATACTCATAAGCAGAGCCTGTGTATATCAGCAGAGGCTGCAGCACAGCCCCAGGGCATCACCAAGCCACACTGGGCTGCTTTTAGTGACAGTAATGAAAAACAGGGGCAGGGCTCTGCATATGGGGGGGTTCTCTAATGTACAGTACATGTGAGCTACCAAACATCTGCCAGAGACCTGTCTTGCAGAAAAATGAAGAAATATAACCAGCTTCTTATTTACAATGAGCCATTTCAAAACAAAAGCCTGGATAACCATCTCCTCTGAAATCAGTCCATGCTAGAAACTAATCAACCTTCAACTAGAACCAGAACCCACAACAGGGAGAAGTCCTAGAGATTTCATCAGCTGAGGATTCAGTGGGACTCATGAGATACCCTTACAGCCACCACTGCCAGACACATTCAGTGGCTGGAAGAACACAGTTAAAAAAATAATAATTGCATGAATAGCAGAAAAAGTGCAGACACCACAGCAGAAATCAGGCCAGCTGTGATGCCACCTCACCTATCCAACAGGACACAGGTCATGCTGTTCTGAACACCTGGGAATGGCTAATGTCCCTGAAGAGGATATTGTTAGGTACAAAGCTGAGAACTTCAGTCATTAGGGAAACAGAAAAAAACGAAGTACAGTTTTGGTTCCGTAAAAAAAACAACCCCAAAAAAACTGCCAAAAAACCAAACCAAGCCCCACAAACTGTTACCTTCAACCAAGCAGAAGAGATGGGGACACGACATCCCTAACTACCAAAAAGAGAGCACAAACTGTATTTAAACACAGACAAAAACATTCAGAAAATAAAAGCCATTTAGCAGGTGGCTAGATGCTGAGAGGAACAGCCTTGTTTTCACCACATTCTAAGCTGGATGTACTCCTAAAATGCAACAGTCAGCATTATTAATGCTCTTCAACTCCCTGGATTGAATGGCCTATGGACAATGTCCCAGTGCTGCATTAACTGAGGAATAACCCCAGATCCTGGCAGAGGTGCTGGCAATTATGGGCCTGTCTGAGAGCCATTGATTTTATAAAGCAGTTTGATCTTAACAGAGGTGAGAAATCTCTTCTTTCCCAACCTGTCCCTTCCCTAGGGAAGCTCTGCAGGGCAGGCCCCTCCACAGGGCTGTGCTGCATTTCTAAGCAGGAAAATGAGATAATCACAGGCCCTGCAGTCACCCCTTGACACAGGAAGAAAGTCCAGCCTCGATTTCATCAGGGAGAAAGAAAATGGGACAGGAGAGAAGTATCATACAGGAATGTCCATCTATACATTCTGCATGTCACCACATTTTCTGTCACTACAGCCTCATATCAAATAACATTTACACAGATGAAGAGTCAGGCCTTTTACAGTAATGGGCCAAATGACAAGGAAAGCCCAACTTTAATGAATGAACAGGACCAAACTTCTTCCTGTGTTGCAGGAAGATGTTTCATGGGCTATCTATTTTTCTGAACTGAAGAACCACCAGAGAAACACAGACTTTAGTGTCTTAGAAAGTTTCAAGTAGGAGGAAAAAAAATATTTTAAAAAACCCCACAAAAATCCGAACAAATTACTTTTCTCTGAGGACAGCAGTCCTGTATGGTAACAATCTGAGGCTCAGGTCAAGTTTCTTTTGTGATACTTAAGATTTAAGCTGATTTCCCCAGAGGATGAAATAAGTGGGGGAAAAAATGAAAGGTGAAATGGGTAGAAAAGGGATGGAAGATGATTAACAGAAATCATCAGGGATCTCAGTGCTGCCTGGCCTATCCACAGATTGTGCTATGGCCTCTGACATGAGATTTGCAGGCAGAGACTGCAGCAAATGAAGCTGCTTAGTTATTCAGCCCCCCTCCAGACAATCAGGTAGTGGAAGTAGCATTAATGAGGCAGCTTTTAACTAAGGAGGATGCAGGGTGAAAGACCAACCAATACAGTACATAAATATGTTAATGTATTTATTGAGGTAATTTTTTCTGTAGCCTGTATGTGGCTGCAAAAATGATTCAATTCATTTTATGCAAGAGAAGTGCATTCATCTCCCTTAATTAGGGAGAAAGGAGGACTGGTACTAGGATTAAAAATACAAGTATGGTTGATTTTGAAGTCCTCTATGTACCCCATTCTGGCAAGATCTGATAAAATACTTCCTCCAACACTGCTTCTGACTCATGGGAATATTTGTGAGGTACATGACTGGAAATTCAATAGAATGGCCTGTACTAGTTTCTTGCTCTGGCAAGAACAGATCTGCAGATATAAGCACACAAATAAAAGTCTAGATATTAGTATTTTCATTAAAATATCCCTGGGATTATCTTCAACTCAACATCAGACAACCCTTCACAGCTCTAGAACAATGGAGCACAAATGGGCCTCCTCAAAAGGCCATGATAAAATACACTATATAAAACCAAGAATGTTCTTATTACTTACTGGGTTTTTAAAGGGTGTTACCTACAGTAACATTTGTCACTTAACATCTTACTCTCAGCTTTAGTTATTTTATATTTCTCATCTTTCATGTGCTGCTTTTTTCATTTGTTCTCAGAGGAAAAATAAAAAATGAAGATGGAGCAATACAGTTACATTGCAAAACTCCTCTGAAATAACGGAAGTGCTGTCTGCAGTGATGATAAATCCCAATATGTTACCATGCAAGATATCAAATCTGAGTTTCCAAAAAGCCTGATCCCAGGTGAGTGTGACACTTCTCCACTGCTGCTGATCATGAGCCTGACAAGCAGCTCAAGATGTTTACAGTTCCCTTGCAGACAGAAATCCAGACTAGACAGCACTGCCTGTATCATAGTCTGGAAAACAGGTACATTTGAAAGTTTGTAAACCATGTGATTTGAATGACCTGAATCTTCTGTGTCTGTAAATTTTGTTCTAGCACAAGCATCAATTGACAGATCACCCTGCAAGTGCTAGGAATAACAGCTTCAGTTTCTCTGTGCTTTGATAGCAGAACATGTCTGGAAACACCACTCTGAGCTACTCACTGCAGGCTGCTTCTGATTCATCCGACCCGTCGGGACATTCTTCTTCCCCATCACATTTCCACCTGGCTGGGATGCAGTGTCCATTGTCACAAGTGAAATCTGACTCAGCACAAGTTTTCTTTGCTGCAAGAAAAGAAGAAAGTACTTGGCATGAATATAAACAGTGCAGAAGATCTCCACTGCACCCAACCCCACCAAGGATGATATGGATTGCCCTGTGCTAAGAGGATTTATTTCACATTCAACATTGCTTCTTCATGACAGAGTCCCATATATGTCATAGATGGGTGTTTCTTCTCACTAGAGAAGAAACCCCTCCATTATTTGACAAAGATTCACCTTTCCATGCCTTTTTCCAGCCATTCAAAAAACAGGGACGTTCGTTTTCAAGATAATTTTCTAAGGCTTTTACTATAAAAAGCTGCTGCCTTCATGGAACTGAAAGTATGTTGCATGATTTACAGACAGGCAAGACAAACAAGTATCACCTTCGAGTACTATAATCTAAATAATAATGTTTCTATCTGTGCCATCTATTCATGGCTTGTTAGTACATCTGTCACCACAGCAGATGATCATAAAACACTCCTTCAAACACTAACATTCATTTCATTAAATGTCAACCACTCCACGCTCTTTGCTTTGCTTGCATTAATCTAGGGCTTGAAAAAGATGCAAGACAAGAACTCAAGCAATTAATTGGTCTATTCCTCTGTGCCAGTGGTGCAGTACCATGTGCTCTGCAATTCCAGTCAGCATCTTCCCACTGCGGCAGAAAGAGAAAATTCCACTTATATTGGGTCCCTTCAGGCTGAGGTCTCGGTGTTGGTGTGACACCACTCACTCACTGCTTTGGCAGTGGTGACTTCAGTGGCTTTTCTGATGAGTCCTGAGCAAGGGCTGGGGCTCAATGTCACCACACTGAAGGGAAATGCTCTCTGGCTAGCTGGTATCTACCTTTGTTAGCCAACAACTGACACAGGAAGTCCTGGCAGGGAGATTTGTCTCTTCCCCCTGCAAAGCTGCTCACAACCTAATAGGATCACAGGAAAATTCAGGTAATGAAGGACCTCAGGAGGTCACCAAGTCCAACCTCCTGCTCAAGACAGGCTCAGCTCTGAGGTCAGACAAGGCTGTTCTGCGTTTTATCCAGTCTGGTAGGAAAAAAACCCCAAGATGGAGCCAGCACAACCTCCCTGGGCAACCTGTTCCATGGCTTAGCTGCCTTCACATCACAGTGACACCTGGGCTTGCCAAGCCATTCTCTCTTACAAGTCATGTGCACACACATTGCTACATCAGTGCTTCTTCCAGCAAACATTTTTAAAGCATTAAACACAACAAATAAGCCTCTGGGGTTTGATCTTTTACTTTCCTTTCTTGTTTTCCTACATGAGCTGCTGTCAGGAAGGGAGTCATGTTAAATATCACTCACATGCCCGCACAGGAAACATGGAGCATTTCTGTGTGCGGTGCTGGAGAGACCTCCGTGGCTGAAATAAAGCACTCATTTTCTAGCACACAAAACATGCAGCTTCCCTCAGCAGACATCCAGCAGGAAAACACTGCAAAGCACCACTAAGCAGCTGTACAATCTCTCAGGATGCACTTTTTAAAGAGAAAATACATTTACTCCCCTTCTGCTGCTAAATGAACCAGGGTCTGGAGACTGAGGGGGAAAAAAAAAAAAGGACAATTTTCAATTTTCTCTTCACCCATTCAGAAACATATTAGGGACTACTACAGGACAAAAAAAAACATTTCCATAAAAGCCAAGAGTTTTACAAGACACCAGTCATACTAAAGATCATCCAAAGATTGCACATCTGTCTGTTATCAGACGGAAAAGACTTTCTCCTGAATAACTACTTTCAGAAATCCAAAGCTTGTGAAACTGGCTATTGCACATCACTGCTGGGGTATTTAATGCAAGTTGTAATGAATCTGAGGTATTTAAGGCCAGAAATGCTGACACTGATAGGATACCCATGCACAGCTGAAGTGAGAGCACTCTCCTGCTTGCTGGGAAGCTCACTGGGTGAAATACTGCTATCTGCTCTTAGGGGAAGGTTGTGGCATCTAGAAATGAAACAATCGCAGCTCCATCCAGAAAGGAGAGACCAGTGTAATACTGGAAACATTACAAACCTAATTTTTAAAATGTATTTTGTTCTGTAGTCGCTCTCTTAATGCCTTAGTATCTTGCTTTCCATGAAAAAACTGTCCTTTAACTTATCCTCTAGAGATCCAAATAGCAATAAAACTACAATTGTGCCTAAACCAAACCTCTCCTTCTGCCGTCAGTCTCACAGTGTGATGTATTTCTGGGACATGGGGATGCAGGAGCAGGGGCCAGCCCCAGGAGGAGTGGCAGGGGCACCCCCTTCACACAGCCAACCCTGCAGATGGTGGCACCAATGGCTTTGTCCCTGCCCTGCCACTGCTCCTCCTCGTGCACCAGGAGCAGCTCCTTGCTTGGGCTCACAAAGGGCAGCAAAGCATCGCTGCCAGTCCTGGGTGCCCCTCAGGTGGGCTTCATGTGCTCCCTCCCTTTGGCAAAATGAAGCTGGGCACAGCCACTCAGCAGCAGTGGCCGAGTCCAGAAGTGTCACCATGTCCCCACGCCCTCCTGAAGGTCCAACACTCCCATGACAAAAATCAGCAGGATAAAAAAGTGTTTGGTCTTTGTATATATCTAAATTGTCTAATCTCTTCAAGGAACAGGATTAAGAGAGGGGGAGCTCAAACCTTTCCTATGATTCTTATGTTTACCTCTGCTATTTTTAACATTTTTTGCTTTTAGATATTTACATTTTAAATGTTATCTTTTATTTTTTTTACTACTATTACTCTTCAGTACTGGGTCAGAGCTCTGCAGACTGTCTCAATTCCAACAACTCCACTTTCTGTTGCAAACAGCAACCCAGATTATTCAAACTGCAAGAATATTGAAGCACTGTCTCATTTCTCACCTCTAATACAAGACTGGAATAACTTCATTTCCAACCAGATTTACCTTCTGGCACTCAATCCTCATGTCTCTGGGATCACAATGCAGGCAGGGAGCAGTTAATTAAAATATCAGCTCTCTGCTTTTTCCTTCCTTTTTCTTTTTGAAGTCTGATAACCCTTTTTATTAATCTCCCATGTTATACACCTTCATTCTATCAATAATTCATTCAGACTCACACCATAAATTGCCAGTGGTGCATTAAAATGTAAAATAAATAAATACATCCCTTTTAGACAATAGGGAGGACACGGGTTCATTTTATGGTTTCACCTGGCTCAGAAATAGTCAAGCAAAATTAATTGTCCCCCTGAGATCCATTTCCTTTGCCGTAAGCAGCCCAGGCAGCTCTGCTCACATGTCTCTTCCAGATGAACATAAACAAACAAGAGTGAGCAGTCACAGCATCCCTGAGCCTCTGTTCCTCGGGGGGCAAATGATCCCTGGAACGAGAAGAGAGAGGTTCCCCAAGTGTGCACAGAGCCTTTCATCTCCTCCCCTGCTCGGCTGCACGGGGACACCAAAGGGGCTGCCTCTCCTTGGACTCCTGCTTCATTTGCCTTCAGTTCCTGCTTTTCCTTTCCCACGTGTGCAGATGGACAGATCTGTCTGAACTCCACTGGCTCCTGTGTGACCATGGGCTCAGCTCCCACAGGGAGTGAGCTCTGCCTTGGGCAGCTCTCCAAAGGAGCCCTTAGTTAAAGTCAGGCATTCCTGCTTCTCTCCTCTCAGCAAAAAGGCAAGGGAAAGGTGGCTTCAATTTTTTTACAGAAAAATACCCTAACATGCTGAATTTTAAATAAAACTGCATCAAACCCAACACGGCCCCTCATTTTCCAAAATGTCCTTTTCCATTCCATTACTCACATCTCTTATCCTGAACTGCAAGTAAGGATTTAGGGGTCATCCCTGCAGCAAATTAAAAGCAGAGAACCCAGGCAGAGTGGTGAAGAACATGAACATTTACAGAGTGATTTCATAAAAAATCTGAGGACATGTTTAATTAGACTGGAAGGAATAAATATACACTTGGAAACTTGTACTGGCTAAGAGTAGAGACATAAATGTCCCTGGATGACATATGGATGACACAAATGTGACTTCCACCTTCCAAAAATACCTACTTCTGAAAGATCAATTCCCTGACCCCAACCCAAACAAGGTATCTGAATCTAATGGAAAAGTCCAGGACTTACTCTTTTTTCCTCTTTCTAATAAAAGCCAATGTCCTCCCACTGCCCTCAGTCACTTCATTTAACCTCACTTAACTTTTGCCTCAGTTTTAGAGGCTTTACAAGGCAGGTACATCTTTCCAGTTACTCCTTATAAGACACCAGGCCCTCCATGATTCAATTTGCAATTCCTATTTTGCACATCTTTAATATTAAGCAATGCTCAACTCTAAAATAGTTTCATTTCTTTCTGTTCCCAATTTCCCCAAACCAACAGCTGAAATGCAGAATGAACACACTTCCTCTTTTATCAACAGTTCAATGTAGCTGTTCAACAGCAGCAGTAATGTAAAAGCACAGAAAAAAGCATATTTTCTTACAACAACTTGCCTGTAAAGGACACTTGGAAATGAGGCTTTGTTTGTTTCCACGTGAGACAATGCCAACATAGTTCTAACATCTAAACACAGGATTTTTAGACAAAGGGCTTTGTTCAAACTCTGGGTTGTGTATGCAGACAGAAAACCAATGAGAGCACCCTTGAGTGTTAACCCACAAAGACCCTGCAAACCCTGCCCTCTCCCCATTCTCTCCCCTCAGTAACTCTTGACCAACTTCCACCAATTCTAAAAGATGGGAAAGATGTGGAAAGAAAGTTTAATCCCACAAGTTCTATAAAACTGGGAGCTGAATAGAGAACAACCAAAGTGACAGCTCCACAGAAGGAGATAAGGGCAGAAAGTGGCCACAGGGCTGATCTGCTCTGTGGGCTGCCAGTCAGCCAGGGCTGCCCAGACTCTGCATCTCATCCCAAGGTGGGTTTATGGCAGAGGAAAGGTGGCAATTAGGGATTAGAAACCCCAGACACCAAGCTCATTGAAAACTGGTTTAATTTGTTCCACTACCCTCATTCCTTTACGTAGATCCTGCTCCTATTTTAA